ATAATCTGGTTGCATCTCAGAGGACCTGTCGTAACATTTCCAAGCATACAGTGTCAGCCAAAATCAAATGTGGCTTAGATAAGGAAACTCAGAGTACAGGCGCCTTCCCCAGAACCCAGCACCTTGCTATCGTTGAGTGCAAGGCCCCTGTGAAGGGAGGACGGTGCCAAGATTGTACGGGATCAATTCGGTTGTGTAAGGTTGCGGGACGTCTTCCTGAAGGAGATGCCCAGGGCAGGAGCAGAATCCAGGAGTCCGGATCCGTAGAGTGGAGGCTCTGAGGATCTGGAAAGAATCATTTCAAGAGCTTTAATTACCTCCTTCCCACAGCCACCCAGCCCCACCCAAACCCTTCAACACCTGCCTCAAGAGGGGCCGTGGTGGAGAGAAGGTACAGGCAATATTATGAAGCAGGGCTCCACTGGCTCCCGCCCTGGAAGGGATGGGGAATCCTGGGATAAGCAGAGTTTCCCTTGGGCCTTTGTCCTTGGCTGGAATCCCCACTGGTCTGAGCAGCTGGAATGGAATGTTCCTGGGAAGAAAAGCCTGCCCCTCCTCCACCTCTCCCCTTATGGAGTTCCCCAGGGCCCACAGCGTGGGGGAGGAGGATCGGTTCCAGGGATTCCTGATATGGCGATGCTCCAGGGAAGCAAAGGCCCAGGCTGCCTAAGGGTTCTGTCCCAGCAGCTTCTCCTGGGTTAGGCAGATTGGCTCTATCAAACATGTATTAATCTCCACTATGTTCCAGGTGCTTAGTGTGACCTCTCCTTCAATAGTCAGGAGTTATCTCTTCTCCAGCTGCCCAGTAAGACCACCCCCCCAACACCCACACCCACATGAAACTGGCCCAGAGAAGGGAAGTCATTTGCCCAAGGTCTTCCAGCTGAGAAGTTACAGGCAAACACTGAATCCCAGATCTGTCCTATTCCGAGCTTGGGGTGCTTTCTGCCTCCACCATAGAGCCTGTCCTCCTCCTCTGCCATCCCAGGCTCTCTGCCCTCCTTGGCACCGAACATTCCAGCCAGGTGTGCAGGGAGAGGAGGTTGCCCTCCAAAGCAAGCCAAGGCCCTGAGCATCGTTGGCCTGCCCTTGCCTGAAGCCAGATGTGCTGACTCAGTCTGACTCACCCCCCAAAGCCCAGACAACCAGGGTGGGGAGCCAGCTTCTGGGGCTGTGCCCAGACCTTGGTGGTGGTGATTGGGGAGGGGGGTGCGCCTTCTGCCACCCTTCCAGCATCTCATCACATCCCTCCCAGATCCGAGGACCAGGGGTCACGGTACTCAGACTTAAAGGGTAAGAACCCAGAAACCCCCTCAAATGGAGCCCTTACTAGCCTGATAAATGAAAAGCCACATAGACTAATGTTTAAAGGACCCCTCATTTACAGGTTCTAGGTCCTTGGGCAAGTCACCTGCCCTACCTGATCCTCAGTTTCCTCATCCATGGAAATGGGTATAATAACCCCTACTTTGCAGAGTAGCTGGGAGGATTATAACAGATAAAGGGTGTAATGTGCTCAGCACAGTGCCCAGCATGGAGATGGTTAATATATTCCAGAACCAAGAAACCTGGCCAGGGTTCTGTCAAGGACTAATAGAGGAAGAAATAGGCTGGAGAGCTCCCAAATTTCCCCAATGCCTCCTCCCCCTGGCTGTAAAGCAGGGAGCCTCTCTTTTATCCCTGAGAAGCCTGGGCTATTGGGTTTTCTCTAGGTACCTGGCAGGAGGGGAGGAGCGGGGGAGGCCTCCTCAAGACTGCCCACTACAGGTTTGGAGTACCGTAGCTGTGATCTGTTTAAGCCTCATCTCTAGGAAGCCAACCTGGCCCCCAGGTGGCTGCAGAATGTGATGTTCTGATCAGTTATCAGTGTAACATCTCTGAGGAGCGAAATGACTACAGCCTTTCACTCAGACGGTGACCGCCCAGAAGGGCAACATTTTTCCAGTTAAGTCTTTCTTGATGGACCTTCCTCCGAGGTCCGAGGCCGGGCCCAACCACAGGCCCAAACTTACGCCCCTTCTCTGAATGACCGCCACGCCCCGCTCGTTCCGCCAGACCCTTAAAACTCAAGGCCTAGTAAGGCTGGGCAGGACGGAAGAGGGCTGGTCGGGGGCGGGGACCCCGGGGACCAAGCTTGCTCCAGGCCACGCCCCCACGCCCCGGGAAGCAGCCCCACACTGCCCTCTGGTGGCGCCGCCCAGAGACGCCTTCACTGGGCTTAGGGCCCTCCAAAAGTGGGAAGGGCTTATCCAGGGGAGGGGCAAGTTCTAAATTAGAACCCTGAACTCCCTCCCAGCCCCAAACACTGGCCTGAAGAAAGGCTTCTGTTCTCATTTCCCTTTGCTGAAATCCCAGATTCACTGCTGGCCATCGAAGTTCTCAAGAACCCCAGGGCTGGGGCCATCAAGAAAGTGTTCAGGAAGCTGGGGCGGGCCGGGGGGGGGGGGGCGGAGCGTGTCAGTCACCAGGCCAGGGGCTATGGTTATTTGTGAAGGCCTAAAAATAGCCCTCCAACAACACAACTTGCCCAGCCCTAGAGGGTCTCCTGGGATAGTGACTGCCAGGGAAGACTGCCTGGAGGAGGGCTGGGAGACACGAACCCTTAAGAGAAGAGCCCTTCTGAAATCAGTGCTCCTTCTTGAGCCCCTGGGCTGAGTAGATAACAGTGTTTGTTGACTGAGGAGAAAACGGAGCGTCCTAGAGGGGGCTGGGCGGACCAGACAGGGGTGGGAAAGTGACTTATTAGCTGGCAGAGGAGTAGTGGGCAGAGCACTGAACTATGAGCTGGGGTTCAAGTCACTGAGCACCGTGTTCCCCAGGTCAAGGCCCTTGGTGAGAGACAGTGGGACATCTAGAAGAGGGGAAGAGGGACAGAGCCACCTGTGACACTAGGACCAATCTCCATCTCCCACACACATGCACCACTTTCTCCAGCAAGAGCCATCTCTAATTCCTCACTCCCTGCCCCCTCCAAATCAGGACAAAGCTGATGATAATAAATCCCAGAGAAAGGCAACTCTATGATGACACAGAGCACTTTACACCATTAGCTAAAAGCTTCTCTGGAACAAGTGCCCCTCTCCTGTACAACGCAGAAAACCAACAGTACTGGCTGCATCCCAGCGCTGCAGCGTGAGCTCCTCACTGTCACCTCCAGGAAGTGCTTTTTCTCTCTGGGCCTCTAGACCCTGCATGAACTGAGTAGCTTCAGAAGGTTCTCCCTCTCCACGGAGGCCAGAGGATGCCAGGGCCCCTCACTGCTCTCTCAGAATCCCTGAGACCTCCTCCGGGACTGCCCTTCCCCAGCTAAGAATGGGGTTTGGAAAGGCCTGGATGTTAGAAACCAGCCCCAAAGTTTAGTACCTGAGGAGAGGAAGGGCTGATGAGAGTCGGGGGAGGGCTCCTGGGGCCCTGCCTTTCAGAACAACGCACCTGACCCTCAAGACTCTAGGATTCAACCAGATTCCTGGGACTCTGATGTTCTCATTCTATCCCCTTTTCCCTATTGCCAAGCCCTGACATGAGGAAGGACAGCTATGTTCAGGGAGGGACTGAGGAAACTGGCCCAGAGAGGAGGCAGAGTTGTTCTAGGTCACCCGGCAGACAGGCTGGACAGCTCCCTGTAGCCCCTGCCCCTGGGCAGGGAGGAGACGCATGGGAAGGACACACACGGGACTGGGACCTAGTTCTGTCCAGTGCTGGCATGTGACCTTAACACTCTGTAAAATGAGGACTTTAAATCAGCTCCTGGCTCCGGTAAAAGCAGTACCTGTTTCTAGGTGTGATTTAAAAGAATAAAGCAAAAAACAAAATAAAAATAGAAATAAATAAAAGAATAAAGCATTCCTCCGTGACTTAAGGAGGAAGAAGAAAGACCTCTGCCCTGTGTTAACCTCACTACAGCCCTTCCCAGAAGTGAGGACAACCACTTCGCAGACTGACGAGGAAGGCTGCAGTCCAGTCAGTGGATGAGCAGCAAAGCAGCAGCCAGGCAATTCACAGCTGTGGGGGGGGTCCTGAAGGGCATGCGGACAGGAAGAGAAGTCAATCTCATTTCAGGTCTGGCCCTTTAAGGCCCCCCTTTCTAGAAGCAGATGACATACCTGCCCCCTTGGGGCCTGTTAAAGGATGTAACCTGGCTTCATCCCTGGCAGAGCCATCTTAGAGACAGGTTGGGAGGGGGGTCCCTAGGAGAGCAGGTGGGGCATTAGGCAGTTACCAAATACCCCACCCTGGTTATCTAAGTCAGGACGTACTCTTGGCAAAACTGCTTGAGAGCATGAGAAAAGATCTGTCTCCTAGAAGTGGAAGGACCCAAGTATGATGGAAACAATTCCTCCACCTCTCTGGGATGCCATCCCCTCACACGGGAAACAGGGGCTTGGGAGAGAATTCAGGCGTACATCGTTGGCCCAGCCCCCACCCCATCCTGGGACCTCATTATTCTGTCCTCCCCGAAGGTGTGGAGCTGGGCAGTGACAGAAAGCGGCAGTCTCAAGGGCAAGGTTCTTCTTACAGCCACAAGGGATCCAGGAAAGGCAATGCGGGTTGGGGGGTAGGGCGGGGAGGAGGCCTGCGTCAGTACAGCAGGTTCCAACTGGTAAAAGTTTGCGGGCAAACCCCTCCTGGAATCTGAGCATCTTCAATTTATCCAACTCTCTAATGGGGACTTGGTGCTACCACCTCACTCCCCAGGAGGGCTGGGAGAGGCAGTTACAAAGTGGCCAGCTTTATTAGGGACCCAGCGGACTCCAGAAGCCCCAGGGAAGGGAGATCCGCGGCCCGGCACCACCCCGCCCCACCCCCTCAGATGCACCAGCCGCCAAGACCGCACCTCAGCCTCCTTTACTGGGCCCCTGGCCCCCCGACTGTTTCTTCTTGGGGTCCATCAGTCCGTCCCTTCGCGTCGGTGACGCCGTCCATCCAGCCGACGTCCCAGTCCGTCGGTCGGCCCCTCGGCGATGGCCTGTCGGGGGTGGCCAGGGGTCCCGGCGCTGAGGTCAGCGCTGGGGGGAGGCGGGGCCGCGGGGCGGGCTTCGGCGGAAGGGCGAGTCGGGCTCGGGGCCGTGGCCCCGCCGCAGGCGCCCGGCGCCCCAGGGCACGCAGCCACCCAGGCCTAACGCCGAGGCGAGCAGCGCGGGCGGCCGGCCCCGGCGGCCGCGGCGCTGGCCCTTCTTGAGGCGCGAGCCGTGCGCCGCCAGGTAGAGCTCGGCCTGCGCCACGCCGCCGCTGAGGCGGCCCAGGCTCTCCGCGCGGTGCGCCAGGCGCAGCTCGGCCGCCAGGAAGACGCGGTGCAGCTGCAGCACACGGCTCTCCAGCTCCGACACCAGGCGCCGGTGGCCCTCCACCTCCAGCAGTCGCCGCCGCGCTTCGGCCAGCTCCAGCGCGCGGCCCCCGGCTCCCGCCGCCGCCGCCGCGCCCCCTGCCGGCCCGGTGCCCCCCGCGCCTCCGTTAGCGCCCTGGCGCCAGCGCTGCAGCTCCTGCCCCTCCGCCGAGCCCGCCCATGCCGGGGCCGGGTCGGCCGGCGGCGAGACCTGAGCCGGGGTCGGAGTCAAGGTCGGAGTTGGGGGCGGGGGCTGAGAGGATGACAGGAGCTCCCGGGGCGGCGGCGGCGGGGACCCCGGTTCCGCGGTCCCTTCCTGCGCCCCCGGGCCGCAGGCGCTGATGCGGCAGCCCGGCATCCCCCGCCCCCCGGCGGCCCGCAGCTGTCTGTCCGCGGGTGTGACCAGCTGCCAGCGCGAGGGGAGGACGGACGCCGCGCACGCTAGAGAGATGCAGCGGCAGCCCCCGCTCGAGCGGCGGGTGCGTCTTATAGCGCACGGGGCGGAGCGATGGGCAGCACAGCCAGTCAGAGACTGGCATGCCTGAACCCGCCTCCCCGACCCCGCCTTCTCAGGACACTGCCCGAACCCTTGGGGTCCCTGGTCCTTCGTTCAGCTCAGCCCCCCGCCCCCCGGGCATCCGGTGCCCATCCACCTCCCCCCGAGTTTGGGGTGGAAAGGGGACCGCGTCTTCTTTGGTCTGGTCCCTGAGTCATAAGCTCTGGTAGCTGATGCTTAGAAAGCATGGACTCCGGTCGCCTCGCGGCGAAGGGTGGGGCGGGGCCTGAGGCCACACTGTGTGCTAGTGAGAGTCTGGACTAGAACTCAGGAGACTTGACTCCTTGCGCAGTGCTCCTTCCCCTACCTCACGCTGCCCCTTGGCCGAATCGGTTCTGCCTGGACTGGGCCACAAGTCTCGCCAGGACCCCTTCTCCAATCTCCCTGGGTCAGTGGAGAGGTTAATATAGAGGGGTGACTGGCGTCCCAGTGGAGATCTGGCCGCGTTGGCTCCCCGCCAAGGAAGCCCTTCGCTTGCAGAACAAACCACAGCGCAGCCGCTGAGCCTGGCGCGGCTTTCGCAAAGGAGCCCAAGACCCCACCGTGTGCAAAATTCTTTCTGTGTCCTTGCTCCTGTTTGCTCCTCCCAGTAGGGAGGTATCCCCACATCTAGAAACAGAGGGGGATACAGACCCAGAAGGTACAGTGGTGCCTTGCTCAAGGTCACATTGCAGGTCAGTGGCTGACTGGACCACTGAATGGGACCAGCTGGACCATTCATGCCCTCTGGGAGCTCAGATACCTGGGTCTCCCGTCATTGAGGGACCCTCCTTAAATGGGACTTCAGTCCTCCTGGCAAAACGATAGGACTGAGCCCTGCCCATTTTTCCCTGAAGTAGGAGTGACCTACCACCTCCAAACACTGGCCCAGACACCATGGCCTTGCCTCAGTTTCCACCCACTTGAAGGTGCCAGGAGAGATGCGAGGTGTCTGTTGTGGGCGGGGGCGGGGGCTGGAGGGCCAGAAACCAGTTCTGAGACTGATTGGGAAGAACCCCAGCAAACCTCAGACTCAGGAGGGCCTGCCAAAAAGGTGTAGCCAGTGTGACTACTGCCTCAGCCTGAAGAGGAGGCCGATGGGGGAGCTGCACTCACTTGATGGGAGGGCTTCTCGTGGAGGAGGACGATGGAGGCCCCTCCCTCCCCTCCCGTGTTCTCTGAGTACTTTCAGGTGCCTTAGACTGAGTGAGTGGGTGAGAAAGCTTGGTTCCTAAGAGGCAGCTCAGACGGCGCTCAGATAGGGGAGTGGTTCGTGAAGGCATGCCGAGCTCATGAGGAAGAGGGAGGAGGAGGGCGTTCAGTGACAGGGCTCAGTGGGGGGGGGGGCTCAGTGAGGGCAAGAAGAAGGGTTCAGTGAACATGATGGACTCAGTAAGGGGGAGAGAACTAGTGGCGGAGCTGGTGCTGGAAGAGGCTCACGGAGGGAGAAGGGAGGATCAGTGAGGGGGTGGGGCTCAAGGAGTCAGAGGGGCTCCGTGGGAATAATGGAGGCTCAGGAGTTTCCAGATTGCCCCCAGCAAGGAGGAATGCCCTGCTAAATGGTGTCCTTTCTTTGAATGGTCTCCTTTGTGTCATCAAACCTTGTGTCCTTCTCTGTGCAGAAGCCCCCCCACACCCATCACTGTGGGTCGATTGACAGGCATGTTGCCTACATCAGGCAGATCACTGCTCCTAACTTCTGGGGGACGAATCAAGGGGAACAAGACCAGAACTTGGCCCCCATCCCCATCATCAGCCAGATCCAGAGACCCAGCCAGACCTGAGTTCAAATCCCACACAGATTGTCCATTTGGGCAAATTGTTTCTCTGAATAGGAGATACTCAACCCATATTTAGTGAATGGATGAATGTTCTCTATATCCTCAGAGCATCCCCAAGAGACAGGCATCAGCAGCCTTTTTTTCCTGATAAGAAACCAAAGCCCAGAGAAGTGAAGAGGTTTGTCCAAGGCCACACAGCAGATGAGTAGCCAAGAAAGAATTCAAACATGGATCTGACCCACTCCAAAGTCATCCTTCACCTCCCTGCTATTCTCATCTGTCCCCCGTTCCTATTCTCTAGGCACTTCCCACAAGTTATAGATATATATGTATTTGTTTAGTTGTTCAATAGTCTCTCTCCCTAGATTGGTTTTGCTTATCATTAGAATCACCTCAAGTTAGAGTGCCTGACCCCATAAGACAGTCATTAAATGTTTATTTTAATTGAAAAATAATGCAAGGGTAGAGCTTGTTGAGAATATAGAAACACTTTTTCCTTCCTTCCTTCCTTCCTTCCTTCCTTCCTTCCTTCCTTCCTTC